CATTCAAGACAAGATCATATTACCTTCATTAGATTCACATTCATATACAAGACATCATGATAATACCCAATTCCTCATACTATGCCCTTTAAGGCCATGAATCTTAAATCACCAACACACCAACAATTTACTACAATTAAGGCATGGATAGTGATATAATTCAATAACCTAAAGCAATTTAGACAAATTCCATTCACATGCTTTCATAATAAACAAACCCACTTCATAAAAGGCACAATTTAGGAATTGAGGAAATTCATGGGTTCATAGAGTATTTTCATCATAAAATCATCAATTAAACACTAATACAATCATAATTTGTCATTAATAACCATTTGAAAACGTTTAAAGAATGAACCCATGAGTTAGAGTAAAAACCCTAGGTTTTGAAGAACTTGAAAACTTTGAAATCTAACTTTGAATGGACTCTAGGGGTGAAAGCTGTCCCTAGATGAAGGATCACCATACCTTGCTTGTGAATCCCCAAGAAATTTGAGTATGAACACCTTGAATCCACAAACCCTAGCTCCCACTTCTTCTTCTTCTTCTTTGGGAACTTCTAGATCGAGAATTTTTGAAAGGAGGAACTCTTTTGATTTGATTTGGGTTTTGGAGAAATAAGGAGTAAATGACTTGTTTTAAGACTTAAAACTATATATACTAGTGATATAAAGCAATTAACAACAACCCCACATAATAATTAATAAAAGGGAAATTACACAAAAACCCCTAACTAACACAGCCCCGTCAGGGACCACACCCACTTTAACGGGTCGTGAGGGGAACCACGGCTCATGGTGGTGCCCGTGGTCCCTTGACCAGTGTGCCTCTCCACCTTGCCAAGCCCTCAAGGGCCTAAGGGAAGACCATGAGACCTCCCATGATCCGTAGTGAAGACCATGAGTCATGGTGATGGTCGTGGTCATGGAGGCAGTAGCTTGGCCAAGTTGCCTTGCCTCCCCTCGAGCCCAAGTGATCTTCACGACCACTTGTACGGACCGTCTAGGGCACCACGGCTCGTGGTGGTGCCCGTGGTCTTTGGGATAGTAGCTCCTTCAACTTTGCACAACTCCTACCGCTTAAGGCAACTCCACGAGCCTTCCCATGGCCCGTTCATAACCACGAGCCGTGAAGTGGCTCGTGAAAGGGTGCCTTGGCTTGGCACCTCACAAGGGCACACGGCTAGGCCTAGTTTTTTTTGGGCAGCGTTGGCCCCTCACCATGGCCTACACCCAAAACCCTTAGCCCTTGCCCTTAACCCTTGACGTTAACCTTCACGTTTAGACTCTAGTTCAATCTATCATTTTTCGAGTCGTTACACAAATGTTTTGAAACTCCATAGTTAAAATCTCATTAAAAAAAGAGTTGAAATTCTGCTCAAAACTCTAATTTACTTACACAAGTTCATGAGAAAAACCCTCAATACTCGGATCAGAAACCCCGACTCCAAGCTGAAATGTTTTTGTAAAGATCTTACCCATGCTTAGGAAAGTTCAAATATGAAATTTCATTAGAAATGAAATTAAAATCGACCTTAAACTCCTCAATTTATCATACTTTAACTTTACTTGGAAAAAACTCAAATTCTCAAGCTTATACGCGGTTAATATGATGAAAATAATTGATGAATCAATAAGTTTATGTCAAAATCAGTTTACCCATTACAAAAGGATCCTAAATATACACTTTTCATCAAAATTCGAGTTCAAATCAATAAAACCCTAATTTTCTCCAAAAATTACACAGATAAGAAAAAAAATCAAATGAAGAAATCATGAGAAAATATTGAAATGAGGATTGGATGCTAATTCCCATATTAAATAAAAAAAATGCCTCAAGAATCACTTCTTTTCGAGCTCTAAAACTCAGAATATGCTAAAAATACCAAATAAATACAGTTTAAAATTTTAAATAGTTGAACTACAGCAGTTGCACTAGAAAACCAATAACTTCTATTTCACTAAAAAGCCCGTAAATTCTTTATACGATAGAGAAATTACCCAATTTCCCCCCTAAATGTCTTAAATAATGATAAAGACCTGCTCGTCTGATCAAAATTCAATTCCGTATTCATTTGCCTAGTCAAATATCATTCATGCTCGATAAACAATTATTTCATAATCACGATAAAAGTTCAATCTCGGCCTAGCAAAAATGAACCAAACTTTAAAGATCATTCCTATAATTCATTCTCAAACTTTGGGAAGTACTGGAATAATTTTGCATTAAAATTAATAACGAACCTTTTAGTTGACACAAATTATTGAAACAACGCCAAAACACCCAAAAAGCTTAAAAACTAACTCAAACCTCATTCGGAAGCTCCCGAACACAAACCAAATATGCTACTTATTTGAAAATGATATTTCGGAGTCAATGAAATCATCAAAACATCCAAACAAGGTCACTTTAACTCGTCTAATGACTCAAAATCAAATCAAAAGCCTTGAGACCCAAGCCAATAATCTTACTAACCCAAAATTCCTGTTTGGAAGCTGGTGGAACTTTCAGTCCGAGATTCGTAGATTTTATGTTTTAAGGGAGATCAATTTTGGGCCAGCCCATAATCCATTTTCTTCCAATTTTTAAGGGAGACCAATTTTGGGATAGCCCAACTCCAATCAGCAGCCCACTTCTCCTCAGCCCAATACCCAACCCAATTTTTTAACAAGACCCAACGTACAACATACAATACAACAATACCATACGACCCTTCTTCTTCTTCTTTCTGCAAAGTGCAAACCCAGATGAACCAGTGAGCAGGGAAACCCAGAAACGAAAACGCAAAAATCACGCAGCCGAGCGACCCAAATTGCAACCAGGAATCCATCGCGCGTCCTCCCCGTACTAGACCGTTGGAGAATCGAGACAGATGTTGAAATCATGTTGAGAATGGTAATAATTCGAGCTGGCCGACCTTATCCCTTCAAGAGAGGTTCGAATTTTGAATTTGAGTTTTCCCTCCCCCAAATTCATTTCCAATCTTTGATTTCTTTCATTATTTTTTGTTGAAAATTGTGGAGTTCAGGGAATGTTCTTTAGTCATTTGGTGGAACCAGACATTATTTTGATTTTTGAAATTTCATCTAGGTTCGAACTTGAAATTCTTCCCCTCCCCCAAATTCATCTCGGGCTCTTTCTTTAATTGTTTTTTGTTGAAAATTGTGGAGTTCAGGGAATCTTAATTGTTTCTGGTCAAGATTTTAATTGTTTATGGATTTTTTTTTGTGATAAAAAGTTGATTTTCTTGAGTATATCTCTACCTTCTTTTCTTGATTTTTTTTTTATAAAGAGTTCTTTTCTTGATTTTCCTTTCTCAATTTTTTGTCGCAGAACCAAAATCTCCAGAAAACTAACTTAGCAGTAAGGTGTGGTTGATAAGTACTTCTCGACATTATGAATAAATATGAAGGTTTTTATTTCTGGGTTTTACATGGTGGTTTATGATTCTTTTTTCACTGAATTACTTTTCTACAGATTGTGCAAAAACTTTTGTTGTTGATGTTACTGTTCGGCATTCCTCCCTTTATACGGATGCAGGAGTTTCTGTTGATAGTTGCTATATTGACGAACTTAATTCATGTGCTTTTGTATCTCTTCAATGTGTTGTAAATGTCTACTTAGATGACGCTAGTCTTATATGCCTCAGTACATGGATATAACAATCTAGATCCTTGTTCAGTTCCCAAAATAGAAAAAAAGATTAAAATGCCAAAGTCGAGAGAAAATTCACTTTCTCATGGTCATTTTATTTACTTATTTGGAGAAAGGAAGGGGTGTAACATCCACGGTCTTAAGAACTTATGGATAAACTAGTACCCAGTCTTATATAAACTCAGCCATTCATTTTGCAATTGTTGTTAATATTGCAAGCTTTCTCAGTCAACGTTTTCTTTCCAAAAGAATCCTATATGGTTGCTCTCCTCTTTTTGTTGAACGTTATGTAGTAGTTCTTTCCTTTAGACACTTTTTGTTACAAGATGGATTTTATATGGGAAACATATAAAATGCATATTTTTTTGTTCCTTGGGTTTTAGCAATGAGAAGAATGTCAAAGAAGTTGACTGAATGAACTAACTGAAGCCTTGTTTGGAAGTAGTGACTATAGAGCAACTAAAGTCCTTGTTTGAATTAGATCTTCATTTAGACATCTGAATTGTTTGCCTCCTCTTCTAGTCTCATTTTACATTCTTTTCTAAGAAAGAGCTAACCTTGTTGTGCATATATTCTAACACTTGTAATCTCTAGAGTGCTTCTTTGAATCCCTTGTTAGTTTTGTCTATTAAATCGTTATGTTTGGGGGCATGGTAAAAGTTTGGTATTATTACCCTTAGTTAATTATTGTGTGACAAACATCTTAGGGAAGGGAGTATAAGTAAGAGAGAGAGCAACTCTGTGAGGGTATAGGGGTCAATGTGAATAGTGGCATTATTAGTGAATGTTGGAGATCTCGCAAGAGTGGTATGTAGCCTCTTCATAATGATGATCACCCTAATCTCTAATGCAGCACTTTCTAGAGATGCTTAGTGTGTTTCTTTTGTGTACTGTTTCTTTCCCTGGCTCCTTACAAATTTAATACAGTAAAGTGCTCTTTTAAATGATACTGTAAATGAAGTTATCATAGAAAAAGAGGATTGGTTCTCCTCTGACAGGGCTGCGAACAGGTTGGGGGCTATATCAGAATTGATTTAGTAAATAAATTGACTTCAACTGTTTGATAGGCGTGTTTCCTATTAGGGCATATGTTCAGATTATTTTTCTCCCTGCATTTCTATCATCACATGGTAGTGATATAGTTCAGATATTTCTTTAGATATATCCTATACTCAATTTTATAATTTAGATATCACATGGACTGTGCTGTGCTATCTGTATTTTCAATTTTATCATTTTTGCTGGTATTCTTCACCACACTATTCGTGGCTTCGGTGCACTAATTTAGCTTTAAATTATTCAAAATCTTGTTTGACAAATTTGTTGTTTGTAATGTTCATAGATATGTCATTACTCCATACAGTGAGTATCCTCAGTTGCTTGGGTTTCTCTTGAAACTGCTCAATGGTGAACTGGCTTGGTCAACAAGAAGAGAGGTTTTGAAGGTAACTGCAATCCTGTTGGTACAATATATATTTTTTATTTGGATTAGTCAGTACTTAAGTTCATTGAGGATGAATTTTGCAGGTTCTTGGCATCATGGGTGCTTTAGATCCCCATGTGCACAAACGCAATCAGCAAAGCTTACCTGGATCCCATGGTGAAGTTATAGGGGTGACTGATGATCCTGGTCAACATATAAGATCAATGGATGAATTGCCTTACGGATCTCTGGCCATCTTTTGCAACATCTGAGGATTATTTTCCACTGTGAGACTTAAACCTTCAACTTATTATTTTCTTTTATGGATTTCCTAACTGGCATCTACTGCTGCAGGTTGCTATCAACTCACTCATGCAGATTCTCAGGGATCCATCTCTGTCAAGTTACCACCAGAAAGTGGTTGGATCTCTTATGTTTATTTTCAAGGTTTGCAGACTCAGTTGGGCACCTCATTTCTTATTGTTTTATAGTTGTTTCTTAAGCAGGATTCCTATATTATTATCCTGCTTTGCCTGTTTCTTCTTTTGACACTGTTAGTCCTGGGACACTTATTTGTTTTTATCTTCTGACTTTTGCATGTATAGTCAATGGGCCTGGCGTGTGTCCCTTATTTGACTAAGGTTAGTCCACTATCTCAGATAACGAGGGTATATACGTGAATTGTTGCTCGCATTCCATTGTATAGCTTACTTTATCAATTTGGCTGGATGTTTATGTTTAAAAAGGTGAGTTCATCCTTCCCCTGGTGTTTCATCAAATGTGGTTCTTTAGCATGTCACCAATAGTGCACCTGGTTGTCCACACGTGGCAGACCCTCCCATTTGCACCCTTTTTACAGAGCAAAGGTGTAAGAAAAAGAACCTGAGATGAATAAAGATATCTCAGATCTTTACTTTTTTAACTTATAAAAGTAGGGGACAACCAGCCAATGACACGGGGAAGTTGACAACTTAAGTAGAATATAGTGAATATTATTGCTTGTAATTACCATACCCTTCTTTTCCCAAACATTAGTTGTGGATGATTTTATCAGAGATGCTTATTTATGATTGTATCTTTTATTTTTTTGTAGAATTTTCCTGATCTCTATCAATTGTATGCATATGTGAGGATGGTCTAAAGGAATTTATAACATGGAAACTTGGAACCTTGGTATCTATTGCACGACAGGTAATACTTCGTTTTAATTATATTGTTTGCCTTGTTGTTCTTTTGGATTGGTTATTTTCGAGCTCAGAGTGATGCAGTTCAGGGAGTCCTTTGTATTCTCTTTTGATATTTTTTGATATTTGACTGTGAGAACACAATCTAATTTTCAGTTGGGGTGCCTCCCTTGTAGTCATTTTGTTGATTGTTTCTGCATATAGTGATTGTGCCCTTGTCTGGCGTACTTTTCTTTCTTTGTTATGGATTGGTGTGCCCGATTTGATATTGTGGTGTGCCCTTGTCGGGATTTGATATTGTGGTTGTTTCTGTTGATATTGTGTTGGATTGGTCTATTTTAGTTTTTGATTTGTAGTTTGTAGCTTCTTTGTTTTTGTTTTGATAATAAGATTTGGATTGATGATGCCCGATGATGGATAGAGGGTGACAATTTTCTTAAGGATAAATCGTCGATTGCTTGTGAGTGTTTGATTGTGGCAAAGTCTGAGTAGCTGGTGCCGAATAGATGCATGAGGTTGCCTGATGATGGGTTAGTTGATGACTTTTTAAGGGCAAAATTTTTATCTAATTGGGAAGGTTTTGACAAGGTTGGTACTAAGAGCATAGTCATATATGTGAATAGTGTTGAACATACCTCTCCATTTTTAAAAGGTTGAGCATGTTATGAATGATTTTGTGACAACTCTTACAACTCTTTTTGTGACTTTTTATTCTTTAACGGTTAAAATGTTCAATGCTACTTGTATTTTGATAAGGAAGTAAGATTTTGAACCATCTTGATTGATTTGCAGGCCATGTGTTGTGAGTTGTTGAATAATGCCTTGTGTTTGCTTTTGTCACCTAGAACTTGTCCGGTTGGTCTTGAAATATTGGTCTTGAATGAATTTGGTTGGAGAAATGATCTTAGGCTTTCTTTGATGTTCTTGAAGTCCACTTGGCCTAAAAATCC